TATATATATATATATATATATATATATATATATATATATATATATATCCAAACCACATTCAGGAAGATGTATCATATTCTGAAAAGTATAACATTATTATATAGGCTAGAGATATGTGTAGGCAGCATAAATATTATTACGTGCAAATCACCAGCAATACATAAGAGTCTAGGCCTATATAAATTTTAAGAGTGACAGAAAGCCTTATTATCGCAAAGGAAAGGAGACTATTTTTTAATCTTTCTTTGTTGGTCTTTATCAAGTCGTGTCCCGGTCGTTTTATGGGACGTGGTCGTGGCTCTCTCTGCCCGGGTTGGCCCGGGCAGGCTGTGTCGAAACACACCTCCAAATTGATCTAAACTGTTTCAATGTAAAAGTACTAATATTTTTCGTTTTACAAAAGTTGTATCAAACTTTCTTCAACAGATCTCAGCAGCAGAACCTTTGCCCCAATACATTCTCCCAATAATATTATTCATTTAAACCTAGATAATAATGTGTTCTAATAATACTCCGAGGGTCAAGAACTGACTGCATGTTTTCCTCGTTGACTGTTCGAGTCCATGAGCACACAGCAGCTACCATCGAAAGAGTACCATGGTCCTATTACTCCAAACGAAACACTCGATCGGACTTTTTGCCCTCTGAAAGGTTGGGGGGGGGGGGGGGTCTTTGGCCTGTATAGCCTAGTAGGCCTATATATCCTACTGTTTCACTTGTGCTGATTTTGTACCTCTATTTTTGTTTTCAATATTTTTCGGGGACTTGCCATTCAGATTTTTAAAGATTTTAATGTAGGTCACTATTTAGATCTAGATCATTTAGGATGCGGGCTTCTGACCCTACCTGTCTGGGCCAACACAGGTTGGGATGAATTTCAACATCTGGCGTATCTGTTACCCTGGCGTTGGTCGTCTTGTTGTCAGGCTACCAGACTCGCAATCGAAGAAATTACCCCTCTTTCTCTCACAATGTATTCGTCTGGACTCGATTATAGTATTCTAGTCAGATGACAAGTAACTATGCATAATGTGTAGGCCTACATGTAATAACAGTATTTTACAGACATGTTCGTTTGTGGTTGGCGGGTACTTTGGTGTGGTTTGCTCCATCTGTTCAATGTATTGTCCTTATCTCTCCTCCTTCTTTTTGTGTTTGTTACTCTCTTGTAACGCCTCTAATCTACGGCACTTGTATGACTTAACAGTGTTGCAAGTGCTGTAAAACGCTAACTAAAAAAAAAACAAGCTGCAGACACGTTTTATTCGCACGTTTAGGCTACAGCAAGGATAGGTAGCCTCTTTCCGAACCACTCACTGTCATGGTTACCGCTCTTCGCCCTTTTCAAAACTTTCTGCAAAGCGTGCGCTGCATGAACCACACACTGCTACTCCCAAGCAAAGGGCAAAACACCTGTCTCGAATTATAATAGTCGTTTTTAGTTTAAGTAAGCGTTTTACGGCACTTGCAACACGATAAGATAATATAAGAGCCGCATATTTGAGGTGTTACAAGAAAAAGAAGAATTAGGAGAGATCAGGACGAATATATAAGTTGTTTGATAGGACAGAAGGAGCAAACCTCCCCAGAACACCCCACCAACCACCCACCGTATGATCTTTGAATGCAAGTGGCACCCCCCCTCCCCCCACTTTTTTTTTTACTTTTTAAAATTTGGCTAAAATAATGCACACGTATTGGATATGAGATACCTCTGCTGCAAATCTGTTTGCTGTAGTCGTCTAAATCCAGTTCTGTTGGCTACTTGTATGGAGTCTATTGTTTAAAGAGTAGAGTCAGTTGGTGCAGATTATTTCCAGATTT